ACACGGCTTGTGTGTACCATGATGACTCGGTTCTTACAGCTTCTCCAACTGTAAGAAAACTGATTTTTTTTTTTTTTTGAGACAGAGTCTCACTTTGTTGCCTCCATAGTGTGCTGTGGCATCATAGTTCACAGCAACCTCCAACTCTTGGGCTCAAGTGATTCTCTTACCTCAGCCTCCCAAGTAGCTGGGACTACAGGCACCTGCCACTGTGTCTAGCTATTTTTAGAGACAGGGTCTTGCTCTGGCTCAGGCTGGTCTTGAACCTGTGAGCTAACACAATCCACTCACTTTGACCTCCCAAGTGCTGGGGTTATAGGCGTGGACCACCATGTCTGGCCAAATTTTGTTTTGTTTTGTTTTGTTTTGTTTTTGAGACAGAGTCTGACTCTTTAACCCTAGATAGAATACAGTGGTGTCCTCATAGCTAACAACAACCTCAAACTCTTGCACTCGAGAAATCTCCTTGCCCCAGTTTTTCTGTTTTTCTTTCTTTTTTTTTTTTTAGTAGAGATGGGATCTTGCTCTTGGCTCAGGCTGGTGTTGAACTCCTGAGCTCAAGCTCGGCCTCCCAGAGCGCTAGCTAGGATTACAGGTGTAAGCTACTGTGCCAGGCCAGAAACCTTGATTTTGACATCTTTATGATGACATTTGTCATTGCTTTAATGAGAACACACTATCTCTTTAATTGGGTTCTGTTTTTTTTCTCATGGCCCTGGCCATCTAGGGCACCTTCCTAAACTTGACAGTGGACACAAAGTAAATAGGGCCTGGAATCGCAGGGTGGGACTGCTCAGTCAGTGTGATACAGATAAAAGATCCAGACGGTGTTTACATTAATGTCTAACATGGGGATCACTTCAGTGAAAACAAAAATGTTACTGCGGGGAGAACTCACGGGAAGGGCTGCTTAACCGAGCATCCTTAGGGCAGCCTTCACAGTGGAGTTTATGTGACTGTCCCCATCATGCCCCTGGATGAGTCAGATCACAGTATCTGCGGCCCCTCCCCAGCCTTCCTCATCTTTAATCCTCCCCTGCCCCCCGCATCCACTTTGATTTAGAGAGTTGTAGATATATATAACATATACATGTAAATAAATGCTAATTATTTTTGTCTGTGCAGACTAACAGCTTAACACCCTGTTCACATCCAATCAGAAGGAGCTGGTCCTAATTATTTATCTAATTAAAATCATGTAGGCGGTGGTGTCTCCTGAGGAAGTTTTCAGACATAAGTTGAGTCAGCTGTTTTATTGTGGTCAAGCCAATTCAGTGAAATTATACAGTCCTTGGATTTCTTTGGGGGTTGAAATATACTTTTATGTGGATGTTTTATTATAGCGAGTACTGCTTTTGGTCCGTAAGTGTTTTTTAAAGGCCTCTCTTTTGAGCAAATGGTGCTTCTTTTAGAGTTAGAGAGAAATTGCGGTGTAGAGAGCTGCTTGCCACCTGGATAATTAACAACTCTGTAATTAGAACACAACGGAACCCGTATCTAAGTAATAGTATTAGTTGTTTAGAAGCATTATATTTATTTTTTTAGAGACAGAGTCTCACCCTGTCACTCTTGGTAGAGTGCAGTGGCATCACAGCTCACAGCAACCTCCAGCTCTTGGGCTTAGGTGATTCTCTTGCCTCAGCCTCCCGAGTAGCCGGGACCACAGGCACCCGCCACAGCACTCGGCTATGTTTTTTGTTGCAGTTTGGCTGGGGCTGGGTTCGAACCCATCACCCTCTGTATATGGGTCCGGTGCCCACTCACTGAGCCACAGGGGCCACCCAGTCTAGAATATTTTAGTTTCCTTCTTCTTTCTGCTTTTTGTTACTTTTCTGCTTGTATTTTTTATTTGATGATCCTCAGAATAATCTGTTGTTTTCTTTTGCTAGAGAACTTCCCTTATTGTAAGGACATTGTAATATTAACACATATAGTTTCTTAGATGTGTATTTTTGTGGACTTGTTTTGAGATTGACTGTGTAGTTCTTTTTTTGATGCTTATTATTATTTTTTGTGGGGGTGCAAATTATAAGCAGCAAATGGTGTCACAGGTATTTACATGCACTGAACCCCAGAAATTGTCCTCTGTAATTTTCATGTACGTGTGTCTCCCATAAAATTAAGATAATCACCAACAGTATTAAATTCAATGTTGGACCTATTTTCTTTTCCTTTCTGGGAATGTAGCTCAGACTGCATCAGTTATTACCAGATTTTCACAGTGTAGAAGCAAATGTTAAATGCAGTATTACTATGATTCATAGGCTTCTGTTTTCTCTGATTATCTTTAATACCATTATCATTTTGGAGACTGTTGGATTGGCAGTGGCTTAAATGTGGCCTTCAGTGTATATAAATAGCCCGTCTCTTAGCTTAGCAGCCTCAAGATCTAGTGTATCCACTGATACCATTGCCCAATACATCAGTGTTTCAAAACTGTTTCTCATTTCTGAATGAGACCCCACCACTACTGAACAGACATAGCAGGACCCTGTTTGTTTCTATTAAAAAAAAATAATAATTAGCCGAGTGTGGTGGTGTAGCCTGGTTGACAGGGCGAGACCCCATCTCTTAAAAAAAAAATAAAAGATTCCCATGCAATAAATAAATCTACTGCTTCTTGGTTAAAACTGCTTTGGTAAAGGCTTTTCAATAAATATTTAATGTACATCCTAATTTTTAAAAACGATTAAACATAGCTCGATGTACCTTTTGCGTCTCAGTGTTCATTGTGGTTCTGAGTGATTCCGCCCTGTTGATGTGCGGGACTTTCTGTCCTGATTCTCACTGCTCACGCTCACGGATGCTTCCGCTTTTTGTAGTGATGTTTCTTCTCTGCTGTAATAATGACCTTATCTTCCAAGATGTTCTCAGGACTGCTGATACTAATGTTCCCTCGAGTTTGTTATCGATTTTGTTATAGCAGTGGCCAGCAAACTCTTCTGTTTGAATACAGTGGCTAAAATACCATCTTTCATGTAATTGTACACGTGACTACATGGCAGAAACTACAGGTGCATTAACTGTCCTTTTATGATTTTCTCTATCCTGAGGATACGAACTATGTTTGGGCTTTCCACTTTCTGATAATACTTTTTCTTTTCTTGTCTTGAGCAAAAGGAGCACTTTATTCAACAGCATCCTTGAATAAACTAGTCCAACATTGTCTAGATCCCATGTGTGTCAGAGAGTGCGGGGCAGGGGAGGCTAGCGTGTCTGGGAGAGTTTTTTTGTTGACACATAATTGCATCTTTGTGGGTGCATGAGATATTTGGATGCGTGCATATGGCGTGGGATGATCAAATGAGAGTAGTTAGGCTCTGCACCAGCTCAAACATTTATCATTCCTTTGTTCTGGAAGCATTTCAGATCTTCTCTTCTAGCTATTTTGAAAATACAGAACAGATTATTGTTAACTGATAGATTCTGTGTTTTTAGTCAAGCAAATAGCACCAAGAGTTAGGTGAAATTTAGAGTTATTTCCTGTGGTATATATGATAATTTAGTTAGAAATTTTGGGATAGGCTCGGCGCCTATGGCTCAACCGGCTAGGGCGCCAGCCATGTACACCTAAGGTGGCGGGTT